AAATTAAGTGATTTAAGATTTTTACACCCAAAAACCATATTACCTTAAACATTGTCGAAATGTCTAAAAGATAAGCATAGGTTTTGTATTAAAAATTATCTAAAAATTACTTATACATTTATTGTTAATTTGGACAATAATTTGGTTTATATAGTTTTTTCGGTATAGGAATTTTTTTTTATTTTTTGCTTAATGCTTTTGAACTTTTCTGTAAATCACACGCACTTCAAATAAACATAGATGTACATGAAAAAAGACTTTTTTTTACAGAATGAAAAAGAATTGAACATTAAAAAAAAACTTAATTATAATTTAATTAATATATTTGTATTTATAGTTTTAAATAAAAGTGTATAAATTGGAGGCTTAAATAAAAAAATGTTTTATGATTTTAAGACTCTTGGTTTGTTTTATTTTTGAGTGTATGGGGCGGTGTTATGGCCTGGCAAAAGCGGAAATGAAATTAAGCGAAAATATGTTCCCGGCTAGCGAACCCCGCACGATTTTTTGCCGGCTCTCTCACTAGATTAAATTAATCAATTTAACCAGTGGATTGGAGGAGGGTGGTGGAGGGGGGTGGACGGGGGGGAGTCTTCGATCGAGTCATACCATTAGCATGATTTAGTGCGGCGACCCCGCGGCTTCATTAGCATAAAACAGTTCTTATGGCCATTCTAGGAAACCGAGGCCGCGACTTTTCCCAAACACTCGCTGCGTTTACAGCCGAACGGAGATTGAAGTTGGATCGGTGAGAGCGGTTACTGTATAATTTTTATGATATTGCCCGATTGTCTGTTCTGTTTTTATTTATTTTTACTGTCGTTCCCCCGACTCCGAATCATTTTATCCCCAATTAATTCATCATTATTCGAGGTTTCCTCGTCTCCGATTGGACTTCGTTACACGGAGTCAGTCAATCTTCTCAGTCATCAAAATTTGTTGCTTTTTATTCGATTTCAGGCGAAATCTGTTCGTCTCCGTTTTTCTTTGTGCTTCTCGCCCGTCGATTGTTTGTGTGTGTTTAATTTTAATTTATTTACATTGAAATTCAATATTTGGTAAATGTATTTTTAATTTTACTGCTGTTGATTATTATTGACCGATCTGATGAAAATTAATTCACGTTATTGCCTCAGCCTCGGCCTCAGCCGCAGTTCGAGGCCGTTAAAATCCATCACCCAAATGGAATAGATCCCCCAATCGAGATACGGCCAATGTCGGGTGTTGGGGACCATTGGAATATGACACATGGCAAACACCTCGTAAGCTTTTCCTTTTTATGGACTGCGAAGAACTTTCAGAGGAGTTCAACGACTCGAGCATTTGGATTTTTGGGTTTTGTGTTTTGGGGAAATCTCTTGAATAAACATTTCGATTTAAATGGTCAGGCCTTTCATTTCTGAGATGGCTGATTAACAATTACTGGAATCAATGAAGTTAGGACTTACATGAGGGTATAATAGAGAAATTTGAACCGCTTTTTCATTATTTTTATTTGACATAAATAAAAAAATACTTTTTCCCATTTCTAATCTAAGACATAAACAACACCTTAGCTTTAGAAATTATTTTAATTTAATTTTCTACTATTTTGAATTTCTCTATAACGAAATCTTTATAAGTTTATCTAATTGAATTGTAATGGTGTGTTTCGAATTATGAAAGTTTGTCTGTAGTAAGGTATTATATTACTTTGAACTTCAAAATTTAGTTCTAAACATTTAACGTCGTAAGAGACTACATTACATTTTGGTAAGATATCAATATATTTATGATTTTATAATTAATTACAAATCCTTTATCTCAACTCTCAAAAAAAATAAAATATTTTGAACATTTAAACCAATATAATTGTCAGTTCATGAAATAAATCATTCAAATGATCTATCCATGGAATTCGATGAAATCTTCTTGATAACCAACAATCCTGATATAAACTGCCTACTCCGAATAGTTTTTGTTCAAATCGAACCCGATCTCATCTGAATTGAACAGTAAATTTTGCCGAAATGGCAAACAACTTCCGATTAACCATTCGATTGTCCGCATCAATTGGGCAACCCGATAAGGTGCAGCTCCAGCGTTCTGGTTTCGTTCGCCGATACGGCAAACGTTCCAATCTGGGCCCCACAAAAAGGGAATAGACAATGCACCCGATACGGAGGACTCCGCTCCATCCCGAAAAACCCGAAAACCCCAACTCTGTAGTTGCAGTTACGAAAGGAGCGCAAATATGTGAAAATGCAAGGTGATGGGTGGGGGAGGGGGAGGGGCGAATGCATTTGCGGAAATGTGTGCACAACATGCAACATAAATGGAAATGCCGTTTGGAAAACATATTGTTTTTGGGCCCCACCAACGGTATACCTATCCACCCCCCCGTACCCACCGAAAATGCACTAATTTTCCTAACGCGCCCCATGAGGTTCCCAGTGGGTTGGAAAGGGTGGTGAGGGGGGTGGTAAAGGAAATGTAGGCGGTGGGTGGTATCTGAGCCTTTTGCAGCAGCGGCGCACATTTTAGAAATTGGACGGCATTTTTCGTTGAATTGTGTGCTGATTGTAATTCATTCCGTGTGTGTGTGTGTGAGTGTGTGTGTTTGGCCAGTGTACACAGGCCAGGACCTCCCCCCATATACACACGCACACACACACACAGACAGAGGAGGAAAATTTGAAAATTTTGATTGCATGTTTCGATACAAAATGGCGCTGGAAAAACGAACTCGAACTGATGATGAGGCATGCCAATCCTGACGAGGCGGAGGACGTGGGGTCCTTTCTCTCCGGCCAGGATTGCCCAGTGGTCGGTTTTCGGATGTGGATGCGGATGCGCATGGGGATGGGGGGGAACGGCAAGGATATAAAGAGGGTCGTCCTGGGCAATCCAAATTGCAGTGCGTCCGGGACGCTGGACTTTTGTGCGTTGGCTGCGCCGGGTGCAAATGTGCATTTTAGATCGTCGAAGCGTAAATTAGGATTTCAAAATGACATTTGGAATATTTACGACTTGCCGGCGCAGACCCTATACCATCTGCATGCCCCTCCCCCTCCCCCTCCCCCCACCACTCCGCATCCCTGAACCGCCCACACCACCGTTGTTGTTCATGGTAATTGCGTAGCCGGTTGCTCGATGATGTCCTGTCTGTTTGTGAACACACAGGTGAGCGGGCAGGACTGCGTTCGTTTCGGTTTGGAAATTGCCAAAAAGGCTCCCTTTGTTGAATTATGCAACTTAAAATTTGGCACAAGTCCGTCTCAAAATTGCCAAAATAGAAGCTTTTGATTGGAAAATTGTTTGATTGGTTGCAATTTCGTGTTTAAATATTTTCACAAGCCCCACAAAGGGCAGATAGATAAAAATGATAAGTTGTTTCCGATGCCTGGCGAAAAGTTACTGTGCCAAAACACGCAAAACCACTCACAATTCGTAGCTGGAGTTGGCTAAGTTCTTTTTAGGGGCTATCAATCTCGGCCATCTCGTTTCTTGAGTCAAACTTGTCGTGCGCCCAGGGCGCAAAAAATGAAATCGAAACCAAAGCCTCAGGATGCGGGATGTGATGGGATTCAGATTCAGGATCCCCGTCACCGTCACACAGCCATCAATGTCTACCGACTTCAAAGTAGACTCTCAAACAAACGCAAAAAAAGCAACATAATAAACGGCAAAAGTAAAATTATACAAGTACCAAAACACATACTACCCCAAAACATGACAAACAAGAAGTATAAACCCAAATACACTGGCACGCTTTTGTTAATATATGTATGGTGTACACTGGAAAAAAATCTTTGAAACTACTATGTCAACCAATTATAAAATATATATAGTTTCACTTGCAAGCCTGTAGGAGCGTTAATAAAATAAGATGGGGCGCCATCTAGCGTTTAGGTATATTTGTCTGCCGGTTAAACTTATTTATTAATTTTTCAGAAATAATTATTCGATTTGGGCCCTTTTTTGGATAGTTGATATGTTTCAAAATTTTTGTATGCCATTAAATTTCAACAACTTTTAAGTGTTGATTTCCTTTTGCCAGTGCACATATTGCAAATACACATATACTTTGTATATTTTCCATTTTCACCGAAATAAATAAACATCATCAATGTCAAATGGAAATCACTCGCATTGGCAGGCACCCCGGGAATCGAAATGGCATTGGATAGGAGGAGATTGAATGTTGAGGGGAGGTGGGCGGTGGGTGTCCAGCCCCTGGCATTTGCTTTTTATGAAACTATTTCAAAATGTGAAACCAATTCGCATAAAATTTTGTCAGCCCTCCTCTGACATGTGAAATGAAACCAAATAAGAAAGCTACGCTGTGTGCGAGAAATAAAATATATAAAAATAAATGTCAATATCACCGCTGTCCGTCCATCGGGTGTTTATTGACATTTTGGCAAACGCAAATCTCGCCGAGCCTGCAAATTCGCCTGGGAGGTCGTCATCGTCATCGTCATTTCGTTCTCGTTTTTGTTTTTGCTCATCCAGTGTTTGCTGTTGTCGTTGTTTTCCCTGCCGTCGGTGGAAAACATATTTGAAAACCATTGGCACATGTCCTTATGAATGATGTGCTAATGTGACAGACGGCAGTGTATTTTTTGTATATTTTTTTTATTGATGGGGATCGGTGAGTGGTTTTGTGGATTGCCCAGTAATAGGTTTTTGGTACGTGGCAGAAGCACAACTTCAAGGAGATGTAAAGTAACTTTTGTACAGAACATTTAGGCTTTAAAATTAGTATTTCTATATATTTTGTAAATAACATTCAATTAAAAAAACTTAACACTACATGCATGTATAAATCATCAAATGTAAATAACCATTTAGAAGATAAGTAAAACGGATATTAAACATTTATGTTTACAACTGTCAGGTAGAATTTAAAATTACATTTTAAATATATACTTCGTAAATAAAAGATTCTGAATAACATTAAAATAAATAATTTAAATATAAAGATTAAAACACAATACCCAATACATCAAGACAGAAGGTTTCTAATTTGATTTAACTTTAATGTTTAAGACTGTCAAAGAAGTTCAATATTTGGAATATTTTATTTGCTATTTATTCTTCATTTGAGGCCAGACAAGTCTCCACGCAATCCCTTTTCGACCAGAAGCGATTCTTATTGCCTCCAGATCCTGAGTAAACAAAAGGGATGCATTCATATATTTTTTGGTTGTAGGTGTACATTAAGAAAGCTTCTGCCCTCGTTTCTCCTATGCTGTGCGGCAAGCTACACTCGGCTAATAATCCAATTACTCGAATTTTCCAGTTGAACCGATAAATGATATTACTTACGCGGACTTTTGGCACTTATTGGTGAGGAAAACCCACTAAGAAATATGAGTAATATTAACAGCAACATTTGCGGCTAGGAACTGAACACTGAAGAAATTATTTTTAATATACGTATTGTTACTGAAACTAATTTAATTATAGCATTTAATTAAAGATTTCTTGGGGTGATTTGGTTTTAATCTTTTTATAAGTTCAATAAATTCTGTTAGCCTGTATTTTATATTTCATTTACAATTTGTATTTACTTTGGGGATAACTTAACATAAGTAATATAAAACAAGAGAGAACGCTATAGTCGGGTGCCCCGACTATCAGATACCCGTTACTCAGGTGAAGGGAGTGCGAGGGAGATGGAGATAGAAACTTTGATCACGCATAACTTTTTAACGAATGGTCCGATTTGAAAAATGTCTTCTACATTTCGATAGGTATTGATAAACACAATAAAACTGCATTTTTACTTTTCCGAAATATTAAAATTTTTAAAATCGTATATTAGCGATTGTGGGCGTTAAAGGGGGCGTGGCACCTTTTTGAAACAAACTTGCGCTGCGTAGGAACTCCTAAAATCTACATGCAAAATGCCAATCTTCTAGCTTTTATAGTTTCCGAAATCTCAGCGTTCATACGGACAGACAGACAGACAGACGGACAGACAGACGGACAGACGGACATGGCTATATCGACTCGGCTAGTGACCCTGATCAAGAATATATATACTTTATAGGGTCGGAAACGCTTCCTTCTAGCTGTTACATACTTTTGCACGAATACAATATACCCTTTTACTCTACGAGTAACGGGTATAAAAAGTATTGTTAACTCCTTCAAATGCTCAAAATAATTTTTCCAATACAAAACAAAATACTATAAAACTACTAATTCTTAATTCTTAAACTTAATTCTTTAATTCACAACCAAATAAAACTATTAAGCTAAAATGTACACACTTTTTTTAAATTCGGTCGTGCTTTAACGATTTTAACGATTGGTATAGTGTCATAAAAAAAAGGGTAGGTGTAGTTTTTAGAATCTGGGAGTCTAACTGCACCCGAAAAACTAACATTCATCGATTAAATTTTATTAGCTGGTGTTATAAGTCTGATAACTTCTGTTAATAGCTAAATAATAGAATGACCAGTCACCGTTTAAGACTTATTTATGATACCCCGAGCATCTCCTTCGATTCCACTCCCACTGATCTCAATTACAGTCTCGCTTTCCCCGCCGATTTTCCTTGACAGCCCCATTCCCAAATTAGAGGCAATTGTTGAGCGCAGCTCCATCCACGAATCGTCTGAAAATCAAAACCTCCCCAGGGCTGCATAAATTAAAGGCTTGCTTGACGAAAAAAAAAAGGAAAAATAAAATCTGCACCGGTTCGGGGGATTCCCCCTCCTCAACCACGTGCTGGCATTGCGCGACACAAAAGGCGAGTAACAAAAAATCGCTCTGGGACAATGACAGGCCCCAAAAGCGGCTGCCAGGACACTTTCCCCACCGCTCCCCCGTCCGTCCTGTAATGGCATATCCTTGGGAGAATGCTGCACCACAGAATTCCAAGAAAATGCGACAGTTTTCCCTTCGAAGGGGGAGGGGGGGCTGCTGGGAAACGCATTTGACGCGCGGCGTGCGACATTTATCAAAAAAGGTAAATGGGAGCGGGAAAAAACGGATAACTTAAAAAAACAGAAACCGAAACGGAGACAGGAATTGTGATTGATCGGCGGGCAAGTGTGTTCCTTATTCGATTCTGGGATGGAAATGGGGAGTGGCTTTTACGGTTGACCTTTGGCACGTGTGCCTTTTGAATAACCCTTTCGGAATGCGGTACACCATTATGGATTCTCTCCTCTTTTATTGACGCAAATCAATCATTATCATGGTCTTGGCACTCATAAGTAAAAACCCAGTACAAAGAAAATGAATTAGATATTTTATTATGATCGATTCGACGGTTAAAAAAAAATCACATCAATACTTTTTTCTGAATTTCGGTGTGCACTGAGTTATGTTCACATAAAGAATTCTATATAAAATGTTTTTTATGTTTGGTAACTGGATAATTGCTTAAAGCATTTTTTTTATTAAATACAATTATATATTTATCAATCGATTGAAAAGTTAAGGATTAAGAGAGATTAATAGTTTTCTTTTCATTGGCCGACTTAAGACAATGCAAATTAAAAATTTCCTTGATGCCATTTAAATGTTTTTAAATCAATAGACTAATTTATACCCATTAATAAAATATATGGTAAAATTATTAAGATTATAATAGCCCCAAGTATATTTTGCAATTGCTTTTGGTTCAAAGGTAGTTGAGCAGTATTAGGAATTTCGATCTATAAACGGTTTTTTATAAAAAAAAGAAAAAAAATATATTTTTTTCTTAGATAAAATCAGTTTTACTTTAAATGCTTTTTTTTATTAAACCCAACTGTAAAACCAAATTAGAATATTTAAATGAATTTGTTGCATTTTTAATATTTTCTTTAACCAGTAAGCTAGTTTAAAAACGTTTTTAAAATGTTTTCAACATATTATAAGTTTTGTGACCACCGGATATAATTTTCGATTGCTTTTCGACTGGAATTTATTTCAGTAGCAATAGTAATTTCGAATTGTAAATGATGATATGCGTTTTCCTCTACGGCATCTTAAACTACAGATAGCCGAGAGTTTAGCACCCGTATAAAAATCTTGAGCAAGTTACAGATTTATGCTCGACTAGCCAGAAATTTATTAATTGCCGGGAACCATAAATACAAGTTCGGGCCCGACTTTCAGTTGAGCCACTTTATGACGAATGTCGAACCAAAGAGTCGACTTGCGCCACATGCGGAGATTTATTGGCCGTGTCTCTGCCGCAGCCACTGCTGTTGCGATCAAAATGAAAATCGAACGGCATCATTATCTTTCGCCCGATGCTCATAACTCAGCACAGAGTATAGGGATCGGAATCGGGATCCACTTGCGATCCATCAAATGCACCAGCCTTCAGCCTTGGCGACAAGTCAAGTCCAAGTTCGAGTTTCAGCCCCCACTGGGCCGTGTCATAAAACTTCATTCATTCATTTATAATTTAATATCGATCGGTGTCGACTCACTCTGATGGATGGTCGCTGGTGCTGGGTATTGCCGCACTGGAGCTGCACTGGCCATCGTAAAATTTTATGCCAGCCCCATTGCCACGTTTATGGCCGGCAAAAGTTTCTGGCCAGCTTTTCCTCATCGTCGCATCGACTCATCGGCCATCGGCCATCGCAGCGACTGCGACTCATATTTTTGTGGCCTTTATGGCGATTGGCAAATCGAAGGCCATAATTCACAATTTAATTAAGAGCCGCAAATAAAGCGAGCTGCATTCTTGGCCCCAGTTTATCGTCCTGGCTCCGCACATCAAAACTCCAAGTCGGATCAAATGTCTCAGCTCGCCTCGGTTGCGAAATGTCCCAGTCTCAATTTCAGGCTCTTTCCCCCTTTTATCGAGACTTAGCTGCACATTGTCCACGCCTACCTACTCCAATGAAAAGTGGTGCTTATAGCCAGAAAGAGAAAAGTATTTAAAAGTCCTAACTATTTCCTGCTTAAATATCAACTTAAATTAAATATGTATTTGCCAGGCTGATTGATTAGTTTGTAAACAAATCGATCGACTTTCTGCTTTCTAACTGGTTCCGGGTGAAAATGGTTCGAATGAAAATGTTAAGATCGCTTAGTTAGTTACCAATAAAAAACATTATAGCGTCAAGCCGTATAATTGTTTCTCATAAATAAACCGACTAAAAACGTTTGCTTCCTTTAATCCTCTAATTGATTTTAAAACCTATATAATATATATAAAAGTTTAAGAGAGACTTGGTACATTGCATTCCGTTTTTGACAAATTTATATTATTTTTTAAGAACTTTCATTATGGTATTAAAGAATTGTATTTCAAAAAACTTATTTCTTCTTGGACAAAAAAATGTAAAGACCTATAAACAGATTTAAAAGTTTTTTGGGAAAAGGGCACATACATTGCATCTCATTTATTATAATTATAATATTATAATAGCTATTAATTTAAAATAACTTTCGTAGTTGTGTATGAAACTCTTGTATAAAATAATCGTGTAATATTTTTCTCAAGCCACCCGCATTTCGGTTGAGATCCCCGTACATGTCAGAAACTTTTCACCGCACAACAACATACTCAGAAAGGCGCTGAGAAAGAATGGGCTGAGCGACTTGAAAGGAAGATGCGTAAAAGTAATTTTAATCGAAAATTGATTTATAATTGAAAAATCTCATTTGCAGAAATTGATTTACCGCAGCATCCGCAGCACCAAGAAGGAATCCTTCCTCGCCGTCCTCGTCGTCGTCCCCTGCTCCTTCCACTTTTCGTCCTTTTCCATGCCACGTTGCTTTCCGGGAAAATGCGTGCAATATTTTTCTGTTCAAAGGCAGTTTTCCGGCGGAAAGGAAGCTGAGGTAACCGAGCGTCAAGTGGTTGAGCCAACAAAACTTTTGCCAGCAGAAAAATGTCTGCTAAGGACGAACAGCTGCAAAGAAGCTGCAGGAACTTGCTAAGAAATGAGCACACTCGCAAAAAATTGTTTTTTAGTTCTTTTTAATTTTATCTTGAAAATAAGCCTTTTTAATATTTTTAAATACAAATAACTTAGATGTATTTGGACATACAATATTATATATATAAAATAATTTAAAAATTAAAAATACCACAATGTGTAAGTGCGTTTTTCTGATATAGGTATTTTAAAACATTTTATTATTAATTTAAATACAATATCTATTTATGTAAAACCGTTCTGAAATCAAAAAGGATACTAGGCTATTTTAAATAATATTCTACCATAGGAAATATAAATTATAATATTATATTAAATATTCCGTAAGGCTATTCAATAGAGTTGCTTAAAGTTGTAAGATGTAGCACACAAAAATAACTAATTCTAAAAATTCAGTATCACCTTTTTCTGTGAGTGCAGGAAAACGGGGGAGGCGGTTGAGGGAGTGGCTGGCATCCTTTGGCCTGGCCCGTTATCTCCTGCCGCTTTGTCATCATC